GCTGTGTAATCAATTATTGTAAATGTAAATGTTATCCATCAAGACTATCAAGGTTAAACTCTTTGTGCATGAGAAAGCCTTACTATGCCTTCAAGAATAACAACATATTGTTAAGAATATTGTGAGGCATTGAACCACAGGAATTGGTCTGTCCACCCACAGAACTACTATTCTGTATGGTCTCTCAGGAGCTGTGTGATGTCTCCTGTGGACCCCAAGTAGCCTTAGTGATGGAAATGATGGTATGATTATTCCTCACTAAGTACTCTGATCTAATAGGATAATCAAAAGATTCCCACTGACAGTTCCAGGATTTGTAATGTGGATAGCAGGATAAACTGAAGCAAATAAACAATAAACACAATGTGATTAAAATAGATCTGCAAATCATGCCATTAGAATAAATTACTACTAATAATTCAAATCTGGCCAATTACACCTTCAACTTTTATTAAAACCTAGCAATTCATTATCTTCCACCTACCATAGGCCAACAGGCAGCATTCACCCTGGACAGGTCGCCAGTCTAAGCTAACACAGACAGACAGACAACCAGAATTTGGGAATTTAGAATTAAAATAACCCAGCTCCACTAACTGCATGTCTTTGGATTGTGTGAGGAAGATGGAGTACCCAGAGAGAACCCATGTAATAACAGGAAGAACATGCAAACTCCACACAAGAAGACCAGATGGTGGATATGAACTCATTGGGCAGGCGTGCGGCCCCCTATTAAGACCTGATTAGCAAACGGAATCATTTTTACAGGAAAAGGAGGACTCCCAAACTTCTGGGTAAACATTAAACATTAAAAACAGAAACATTCCACCACATGACTGCAGCTTTATATCTCTGGATGAAAGGTGAAAACAGAGTTTGTTTGTTTGTTTTTTAAAATCAACATATGACACCACTCTCCTGAGCTGTCATGACTTTATTCATTTCAGGGTTTTCAAAAACAAAAAAACAAACACACACCCTCCCCCCCCAAAAATGTAAGCAGCACTACATACACCTATACACATGAACTATTGTTTGGATCAAACATATCAAACCACTAAAAAAAACAAGATAAATCAGAGCAAATAGAACAAAAACAGGAAACCAAATCATTGGGATAGCAAACTGTACACATAAGATTGTCAACATGTCCTCTTATTGCTGTTTGCTACAGCCGAACTTTAGTTGCTTCAGACCCTTTTACTTTTGCGCACTTTGTAAATGCAAATTTATGATGAAACAATGTATTTGTAAGACAAAATAAAAATGTATTTGTGAATCCTTAATTCATTCCTTTGTGTAAGCAGTTGGTCTTCATGAGTTTCAGCCGGTTAAAAGCCTGGTTTAAGTCTTCAGCTTGTTTTAGTTAACTGGTTGGGTTAAAATAACATTAGTTGAACTCATTCAAACATTTCTAAGCATTAGGTGATGAATAAATATAACTGAAAATCTATCATTTCATCAATTATAGTGTAAATCTATAATCTGTAAAAAAGGAGAGCAGTCTGAATACTTAAAGTGATTGTATGTCTATCATTTTAAAGTTACTGCTACGTTGCATAACACATTTTTGTCAGAGCTACATGAAAACACATTTAATTGTGTTTAGTAACAAAACTCTAGCGACTCTACAATAAAATCATGGAAGGGGGAAGTTGCCTACAGAACTGTTATAACCACAACTTCCAACCTAAAATATATTTATATTTCCAAGAAGTATGTTCCAAATGGCATGTCCACAGTAGCATGGCAATCATCAGCAAAAGAGCTTAGCCATCTGACCATGATCACAATAAAAGCCAAAGAATAAGGGTATTCCTCACTAACCATTATGCCCTGAATCACCTTTTTACATGCATGTATAATAAGCTCAACATAAAGAAAAAAAATTACAACTATAATCACGAGGTGTACAGTAAGTGTACATCAAATACACCACTTTGTCTACAGTACATACAAAAAATAACATTTCTGAGCAAAAACATGAACCCCAGCAGGATCTTTAAATATGTAAACACGAAATAAGAAACAGTGTGTATAAAATACTATACAGGTGCTGTAAGTCTGAAGATACTCCAGTTATCTTTTTTTCTGTCCTTTTCTCAGTCCTTTTTTCTGGGGAAATAAAAGGATAGAGAGCCTTTTCTTCGGAGGAGTCCATTGGATTTCTTTCCCACAGCACAACCGTAATGCCCACATGATGTTCATTTGGACCTAACATGCTAGTAAATAAAGTAGTCTTTGCAGATGTACAGTGGGCCTCAGTCCTTTCTTTGGCACAGCCATTGCAGTCTTTACGTGAGCAAGTCAGTTTCTTTTTTGACATTCATCTTCTGAGTCGAGATGTCTCAAAAACCGCTGAAACGAGTATATTTATGTGTATATGTACTTGTATTACCCCGCTGCTGGCAATTTTGGTGTGAAAATAAGAATATAAAGATGTACTGGTGACTGACACAAAACAGCTCAGACTGGTTGGTTGGTATATCATAGTAAAATGTCAAACAGCCGTCTAGCAGTCTGGACACTGCAAAACAAAACGAAAAACAAACCAAACAAACAAATAAAATGCTACTTAGAAAATAAATAAGTAAGTATTAGTCCCAGCAACACATTTTCTCCATCCTTTAAATATCAACCTGTATTTACTCATCAGTGTCAAAACACTTTCTACTTTCATACTTCAGTTTCTTAGTTCTGAGTGCACTGGATCCTGTTGGGGGGCCCTAGAGCAGGGAACTGGTGGGGCTGCCGGGCAGTGGGGGACTGCAGCTGTTCAGGGTGAGGCTGTGGCTGTGGGAGGGGCTGGGGCGCATTGGCAGCAGGTCGTAGTGGCTCGGGATGTGGCTGTTCCTGGGGAGGTCGTATGGGTTCTGAGGGTAACTGGGAACCACTGCAGCACCACTTGCCGGCACAATACTTATGGTTGGTTCTGGGGGAACAAAAACCAAGAGAGTGGGTGTTTTATTTCATTTATATAATTTACACAATCCGGTTGTTCAGTCTGACGTCACTAGCCGTGTCTGGGCCTAAACTCCGCTGCAGGTCCATATATCAAACGATCACTGTGGCATTACTGAGAGTTGAAAAACTGTCTAAAGTCTTTCATCTTTAATAAAATGATCAGCGTTCTGCTCTACCAGGTGTAACAATTGAGTTTAACATCCAGGCATCCATGAAAACGGAATTTATGACATTTAACGGAGTTAGAAGTTAGCAGGAAGTTAGCTCGCTAGCTTCTATCTAAATACAATATAGCATGTCCTGACTGCGGGGTTTTGGAAACAAATTAAAACATACAGCTCTGTTATCACTTCCAGCATAAATGAAGACAGAAAACTAAACAGCAGTGACATTTGCAGGGTTACTGAAGTTGGGCTAGCTGGTATATAATGATGTGCTACGTGACCACTAGCGACACAGCTATGTTAGCATAATATAAACAAGCTAACTCTTTTTCCACTCGATAAAAGTTACCGTGAGTGTTCTCGGTGGTCAGGAACAAATGTAATCGCATGGCAGGATGCTGTAAAAGGACCAAACTTCAGCCAGGAGAACAACTGAGATAATCCATCCACAATACGAGGTTAGTCATTCATATACTGCTGCATGGGCTGGGCTGTAGCTACATCCTAAGGTTTTAAAAACTGAGCTTAAATAAATGATTAGTGGTAATAAAAGCCGAGGGAGGTCAACAGTGATCACTGACTGTTTTAGGAGCTTTTTGAGATTAAATAGAAGAAAATACATAACATTAAACATGTTAACAACACAAAAGCCATATTAAACGCAGACTACTTTAACCTACTACTTTAACTTTAACCTTAGTTAAAACCATAAATTTTCACTGTTATGCCGATGACACCCAGCTCTACCTTTCTTCTAAACCCAATTCATCCCTCCCACCTACCTCCCTCTCAGACTGTCTTATTTAGATTAGATCCTGGTTCTCCTCCAATTTCCTCAAACTTAACAGTAATAAAACTGAAGTTTTACTTGTTGGTACACCATCTATCTTAACCAAATTCCACAGCTTTTCCATTAACGTTGAAAATTCTCCCACCCTCCCCTCCCCTCAGGTTAAGAGTTTGGGTGTCATACTTGATAATACTCTTTCATTCCAGTCTCACATTAATTACATAACCCGGTCTGCTTACTTCCATTTACGTAATATTCACCGACTCCGTCCCTTCCTTACTCCCCATGCTGCTGCCATCCTTGTCCATAGTCTTATTACTTCCCGTATTGATTACTGTAATTCCCTCCTATTTGGTCTCCCTAAAAGGTCCCTTCATAAACTCCAACTTCTTCAAAATTCTGCAGCTTGGATTATAACCCGTACTCCGTTAAGTGCTCATATTACCCCAGTTCTTCAGCAGCTTCACTGGTTGCCCATAGAAGCCAGGAAAAATTTCAAAATCTTACTTCTTACATACAAGTGTATCCATAAATCTGCTCCTTCATATTTGTGTGACCTGCTCCATATCACCACTGTTTCCCGCCCTCTTAGATCATCATCTGCTATTCATCTTACTGTTCCGTCCTCACACCTTATTACTATGGGGAACAGAGCTTTCAGTCGCTCTGCTCCTCGGCTCTGGAACTCTCTTCCTCCTGCACTAAGAAATATTGACTCCCTCTTCGTATTTAAGACACAGCTCAAAACACATCTGTTTAAACTGGCTTATTCGCTTTAATGCTGATTTTATCTGTTGTCACGCTCTGTTTTGTAATTTTAACTTATTTTATGTATTTTATGACTATTGTTCCTTTTATTAATTGTGTTTTTTGTAAGGTGACCTTGGGTTTCTGAAAGGCGCCCTCAAATAAAATGTATTATTATTATTATTATTATTACTTTAGGCCCGGAATTAGGATTCGTCGCGTCATCACTGAACAACCAGATACAATGCTGTTGTCAACAAAGAAAATAAGTTTTCTTCTGCCTTATTTCAATCAAGTCCAAACTTAGTAAAATGTACTACAGGCATCAAATTCAAACACTTGAACCACAGAGTGTCATAATTCTGTGATAATGTCATGATCCCCCTGGTGTCTGGCCCCATTCCAGATTGCTTGAAAACAGCCAGTGTCTTTCCTTGTTAGATCCCACTGTTTTTATAATTATAGACCAATTTCCAAACTCCTGTTTATTTTCAAAATCCTTGAGAAAGTTGTTGCTCTTCAGCTCCTTCAAATTATTGTAGGAAACATCTTTGATAAATTCTCTTGTGGTTACAGATAAAACCACAGCACTAAAACAGCTTTACTGAAAATGATATTGTAATGCACTCAGATAAAGGTGAGCATTCCATTCAAGTTCTGCTCGACTGATCTGTAGCCTTTGATACTGTTGATCAAGCTACTTATTAACAGACTACAAAACTGGGTTGGCACCACTGGTACTGCCCTCAGATGGTTTTCTTCATACTTATCAAACAGATACTTCAGAATTTCTATTAATCAGTGTATGCATTCATCTGTACTGCTTGCATGTGGAGTCCCCCAGGGCTCAATCCTTGGACCAATTCAGTTTTTTTTAATATATGTTACTCCTGGGCCATCTCATTAATGGGTTTAGTTTAATGTAGATGACACACGGTTTTGACATACCCTTCTGTCAAACCCAACAACCTTAACAGCTTCCCCTGCCTCAACAAACGTTTCTCTGCCATTACTAATTGGATATGCTCTAACTTCCTCCATCGCAATTCTGGTAAAACTGAGGTTCTAGCACACGGCCAAGACACATTCTCCAAGGAGGTTAGTCAGTACATTAGCCCATGCAATCCTCCATAACCACAACTGTGCATTAATGTACAAGGATTACCTATAAGTCTGCTGATTGCTGATTGGTTGACAAGTGGGCTGGAAAAGGGAAGGGAGCAAAAGTGAAGATCACTAGGAGCAAAAAAACTTCAAAAATAAAAATATGTCTGTGAAGGTTCTCAGTCATCCAGGTCATCGTAGTCAAAGGAGCTTGCAAAGAAAAGCGTCTGGACTTCTTTAAGTTGCTTGAAGACGTTTCACCTCTCATCCGAGAAGCTTCGTCAGTTCTAAGGTCAAATGGTGGAGAGTCCCAGATATAAACCTAGTGGGAGTTTCCCCCCACAGAGGGACAAAAGGACCCCCTGATGATCCTCTAATCGCCTGAGCCAAGGTGTGAAACTGGGTGTGGGTCCCAATCAGCCAGAGTTTCGGGTGAACTCGTTGTGAAACCTGGCCCCACCTTATCATGCGAATTCCTTAAAAATACTTGAAAGCACATGTTTCAGTTCCACCTGCTGAACTATACATTTTTCTGTGATCTAGTTTTATTAGTGTAGTGCGGTGACTCGTACAGAAAGGATAGCAAAGATGCTGTTTGTTGGGCTGCAAGACGCTAATTAAGCAATGAAAAAAATGGCAATACTCACTATGTTTTAATAGACTTCTCTGGACTGAATCATACGTGTTATTAGCCTCTGTCTCTCTTCCACAGCATGTCTTTATCCTGTCTTCCTTCTCTCACCCCAACCAGTCACAGCAGATGCCCCCCCCTCCCTGAGCCTGGTTCTGCCGGAGGTTTCTTCCTGTTAAAAGGGAGTTTTTCCTTCCCACTGTCGCCAAAGTGCTTGCTCATGGGGGTCATATGATTGTTGGGTTTTGTCTGTATATATTATTGTAGGGTCTACCTTTTGGAGATTAAGTATTGGAATTTCAGTAGCGGGACCACACCTCCAAACACGCTCCTTCCGGTTCTCATCTATATAGGTTCCCCCAGTTCTGCGAGCTGTTCATTCTCGTTTACGTGCCCCGCCTTCCGTCCCTCCTTTTTTTCAATTCTTTAACTTCTTCACTTCTATTTAGTACAAGGGGATCTGCCAGGCCCGGGAGCCGTCACCAGTCCCCTTCAAGGCCTTGAAACCACCGCTCGATTCATATTCAAGCATTCACCTTTATCTACTAAAACCTAAATCGAGGACGTGGGCCCAGCTAGTGAAACAATATAAAGTGCCTTGTGGTGACTGTTGTGATTTGGCGCTATATAAATAAAATTGAATTGAACTGAATTGAATTGACTGACAACCTGACATGACATCAGATGCTGTAGGCTAAATTTTTGCTTAGTGTGCCTTTCACTCAACAGATATCTACACTTACAGACCACGTCATCAGTTACACCATCCCAGTCCTGGGCTGGACCCTTTGCCTTAAAATGGCTTAAATTCTCTGTGTATAGCTTTAAGAAGCTGCTGAAAAGGTCAATTTTAACATAACAGCATGACATCGTTACATACCATGCTTTCTCTACATCAACTCTGTCTATCTAACATTGCCTCTGCATTGCCAATGCTGCTTCTCCACTTTATTCATCAATGATTGTGCTTTCCACATGATAAGAAAGGGCAGATGCAGCTTATAACTTGTGCTTTCTCCAATACTCTCTGCTGTCATCTCTCTGTTTCTTCTTCTGTCCACCTCTGCATTCTCTGTATTTTTCTCTCAAGATTTCAACTGGAATCTCCACTGTTCTAGCCAACAGAGTGGTCAGCTTCAGGGCAATCAGCTATTCTCTGAACTAAACAATGAGTGCAGCCTAATGTTGTTGCACTGCAGTCCATTGTCTAAAAGAAAAAAGTATTCACAAAGGAAAAGACAAAGCAAAACTAGGGGGAAAAATCAAGAAAAAGAACAAGAGTAAGTTAAAAAATACCTGCAACAGGATGCACACAGGCTGAAACATGAGCACATATTGGACATAGGCAGGCTGCGTGGTTTGAACAATGGTAAAGTGGTCCAAAGGGGCCGTAGGTCTGACCAGAAAATATCCCCCACACTAGTACACTGCCAGGAGCCTGAACTGTTGATACAAGGCATGATGGATCCCTGCTTTCATGCTGTTTACTGATGCTGCTGTCTGAATATTGCAGCAGAAAGTGAGACTCAGCAATGTTTTTCCAGTTTTCTGTCCCCTGATTTTGGTGAGAACTGCATCCACAGTTTCATCTTTTTAGTTGACAGGATTGGCACCATTTCTGCCATGTGATTGGCTGATTAAATATTTGTGTTTAAAAGCAATAGAACGGGTGTATCTAATGAAGTGGCCGGAGAGTATACTTTAGTACAAAACAGTAAAACTAATCACAATAGTGGAATTATTAATGCAAACCTGGGGTTATATTATTCAGCCATACAAACACTGTGCTAATGGAACTCCACCTGCACCTCTGTTTGCTCTGCATGTGCACTTTGACTGTGTATCTCAAATGTGCCTAAAAATGTTCTTATTAACCGAAAACAGGAGACAAATGTAAAACACTGCAAATGTACCCATGTTGTAGACATTCTTGGCAGGCACAGTGGTGGTTGTAGTCGCACTGATGATGGCAGCAGAACAGCAGTGTGCCGTGTGTTCATGGTGTGCTGGTGATTTCATCTCCACGTAGCTGCTCTCTGAGTGCTTACATAGGCTGGGATTGTCGGTTATGGTGGCGTACGGGTTTTCACTGTTGAGGGAACAGGTGCTGGACAACGAACTCTTCACATAGTCTAAGGAAAGAGTGAGACACAGAGTGTTTAATCTTGTGTGGTATGACATTATTCAATGCTTAATTAATTAAAAAATAAAAAAAAGCTTCTTCAAAAAGCTCTGTTTTTAAAAAAAAATCATTTTTGATGATTTTAACCCAGCAGCACTCCAGCTTTTCATAAAATGATTTTTTGTGTGTGTGTCAAATCAGAAAGACGACTCTCTGCAGCTATTTCCTGCATCCCTGGTCATTATTTTAGTTACCATAGTGACCAAATTCTCCTTGGATAACTGATCACACCATGTACTGTTAAAAGAAAATGAGACACTTCACAGTGGTAAACACGTCTCTGTCACAACCTTTTTGATATATGTGTTGCTGCCATCAAATAAAAATGCTGCAATATTTTTCTTATAATATTATTTTATTTTTCAGTTTAATATTTGATATTTTTTTCCTAGGTTCTACTGTGAATAATATATTGATTTCTTAGATTTGAAACTCATTCTATTTTGATTTACACTCTATATAGTGTCAGCTTTTTGGAATTCAGATGGTAAAAATATTAATTTGCATAAGAAAAACACTTTAATTTTTAAATTGCCATTGCTTAGGTTGCATTTCAAGACATTAGATGGCTGGAAATGTCCTAGTCTAATCCATGGACCTTATAGTGAGATATGCAGGTATTCTGTTCACCTTTTTGCTCAGTGTAAAGTAACTGAAGAGGGAAACAGACCAGAGTCAAACTCTAAAATGAGAAGCTGAGTGTGCCTGTATGGAGCTGTGCATCTCCTCTATAGCAACAGAGTGAGAGACGTTCAGTCCTTTTTAAAGCAATGAAAACATGTGTTAAGTAGGAGCGACAAAGAATTTAAAATAATCTGTATTCCTCTCTAAAATCAATACATATTCTGTGTAGTCTTTTGTTGTAAAGAACAAAAAAGCTGAGGAGTTTTCCTTTAGGAAACATGGATGTTAGAGTCTGCATTGGAACACTTGACACCAAAGATTACATTTTAACACCAACATCAGCACTCAAGGGCAGCTGAGGTTAAAACCTGCAGATAAAGGAAATGTAAATCAAGGCACAAAGAGAGCATTCAGTTATAGAGAAGGAGAATTCTGTTTCCAAGGGGAGTTTTGGGGCTGATGAGGGTTAAAGCAGGAGGATGACCCCAGCAGGGAGGAAAAAAACACAGTGAGAAGAGACGTTGGGTTCACCCTGCAAAGACACAAACACATCTATGAGCACAGGCTGGAAAGGATCAAGAGGAACAATGACAGTGGTAGTAAAGTAACACCACCTGTGTGGCATGCTGCACCTTTTTCTTCATCTACATGAAATCACACTCTGCACTGCGAGCAGCTCTGCGAGGCTGCAACTAAAGTGGTCAGACATCAGACGTTTTCCTATATTTGAATTTTTATCATTCTCGCAGGAATGATAAAAATAAAGATGTTAGCTTTATACTGTTGTTGCAGGGGTGGATGCTGATGGACAGCACTTGTGAGTCCAAAGTTCAGGTTCAGTTTCTGAATGTTTTACTTTCAAATCTCGGCTCTCGTCTAACTCACAGAAGAGACGACACCAGCTGCTGTTCAATTTTCTTTTTTGTCTTTTCCCTAAAACAAATATTTCATACAACTTAAAATCGCAACAATAAAAGCACATGCCTACACCTCACCACTCTATGAGCCCTGAAGGTGTCCTGTGTTATCAGACCCCAGATGGTAGCAGCAGATCTTTAGGGCCTGAAGTGATCAGAAGCCTCCAGAGATCTGACTAGAGCTTTCCTGCACATGACATTGTGGTTTTCTACTTGTCCTTCTCTATAGTGCTTTGATAGCTATTAAGGGCAAGAAAAAATAGTTGCCTATTGCCTCTTGCTGGGCCGTGTCACGTTTGAAAACATGACGGTGCAGTGTTACATCCTGGTCTAGGGGTACTGGAACGCAACATAAGGTTTATAAGGAAAATGACCCTCATCCCCAAAACCATACCCAGAAGCTGATTTACAAGTGAAAGGTGGTTTATTGTGTCTAAACTGAAGCTTAACTTAACTTAAGCTTCAGTTTAGACACATCAGCTTCTGGGTACGGTGTTGGGGACCAGGGCGGGGTCATTTTCCTTATAAACCTTATGTTGTTCCAGTACCCCTAGACCAGGGAGTAACATGCAGTGAACAAAGTATTAGTTATTACTAATAGGGGGTGTGGTAAAAGGCACGCCTTGTGGTGAAAACCTTTTGGAGTAGGTAACTATAAAGCATTTCTTTAACTCCACAAGAGCTGGCATTCTGGAAAGATCCAGAGCATTACAATTTATACATATCAGAGTTGCTGCCTTTCATGTTTCAAACACATCAACTTTAAGAAATAACTGTTCACTTGGAACTTGATCTAACATAAGATAGGATGATGATGTGCTAGATGATTGGTACATGAAAGGGTCATTTTAAACTGGACTTCCTGTAGAATCAGTATAATCAGCAGGTCTCCTGTTGTGTCACATGCAGTTTGGATATTTCAGCACAAGCCACAAGAAGCTGGGGTTTTAAATGCAAGAGACACGGTCACTAGCTAACTGTTCGAGTCAGGTGACGAGAGCCCTGTGTGGCACAGTACCTCTGTAGCGTGGCTCCATGTGGTAGCTGTAACGTTGATTAATGCAGTAAACACCTGCACAAAGAAAAGAAAGACCACGAGATTTATATGATTATCATAAAGAACATTGCTAAAATCCTCTTAAAAATCTATTTATACGCATGAAATTTTTATAGTTCTTGACATTTTAGATGCTCTATAAATGTACAGGGAGTGCAGAATTATTAGGCAAGTTGTATTTCTGAGGAATAATTTTATTATTGAACAACAACCATGTTCTCAATGAACCCAAAAAACTCATCAATATCAAAGCTGAATGTTTTTGGAAGTAGTTTTTAGTTTGAGCTATTTTAGGGGGATATCTGTGTGTGCAGGTGACTATTACTGTGCAGAATTATTAGGCAACTTAACAAAAAACAAATATATACCCATTTCAATTATTTATTTTTACCAGTGAAACCAATATAACATCTCCACATTCACAAATATACGTTTCGGACATTCAAAAACAAAACAAAAACAAATCAGCGACCAATATAGCCACCTTTCTTTGCAAGGACACTCAAAAGCCTGCCATCCATGGATTCTGTCAGTGTTTTGATCTGTTCACCATCAACATTGCGTGCAGCAGCAACCACAGCCTCCCAGACACTGTTCAGAGAGGTGTACTGTTTTCCCTCCTTGTAAATCTCACATTTGATGATGGACCACAGGTACAAAGATATTTCACATTTTGAAACCTGTTTAACATATTGACACATTTTAGAAAATCTGCTGAAAGATTCAGCAGAGAAATCTCCAAAATAAATATTCAATATTCATGATCTTTGATGGTTTAGAAAGCACTGCATTAAAACATCCATCACTGCTCAGAAATACTTCTGATACTTATTATTGGTGAACATCAACGCATTCATAAATACAAGCTAAAATTCTACCAAATGCCAAAAATGCCAGCATGGATAATTAGAGGCTGTGTGGTGAATCAAAAATCCTAAATACTTGGAAATCAGTGACACCATAAAAAGAGCAAAGGGAATGTCTGTCTTATCAGCACAGATTTGATCACTGTCCATGAGCTTATGTAGAGTCCATTTGTGCACATCGCATGGGAAACTTTCACCTTCCATGGCAAATGATACTTAAGTGTAAACTTGGTTCATATTGGAGCAACAAACAAACAAACAGGCTTTAATCAGTTTACTCAGATTTGCTTCTACAGCATCCTGATGACATCATGTGGCAATCAATGTCTTTATTTTTGTCACCAACAATTTTTATTTATTTCATTTTAAACTTCAATAACAGAACTTAAGGACAACTAAATAAATAAATAGTTTAAAAAACAAACAAACAAAAACAAAAAAAAACAAAAATCAAAACAAAGGGAAGTTATCCTATTCTTTCTTTGCACACCAATCCCCACACCACCACCCTGTCATTACTCCTGTTCTTCAAGTTACAGAAAGCCAGCTTGTAAAGGGGACCAAATACAATCATATTGATGCAATTTGTCTAATAAACCATAAGTCACTTTTTTGTAAGACGCCAACTTAGCCATTGCCTTGCCTTGTCTTTAGCCACTCTTCATAGGGAGGGGGGCTCTTTTTCCGCCAATGTCTTAGCAGGACCCGTTTGGCTGTAGTAAGAGCCAGAATAATCCATCTTTTTGTATAACTGGAAAAATCTCCATCAGAAAGTTCTGTGGTTATACCAAGTATGGACAGTTTTGGTGAGATACCAAATCTCCTTTTTAAAACACTGAAAATTACCTCCATTATATTTTCCCACCAATTTTCCGTCTCTATATGGGACCAGATGGGTTTAACTGGTGCAGTAGGTAACCAAGCTCTAAGTTGTTTCACGTTCATCACCCAATAATACCATTGGAAATGAGGCAATGAAAAACCTCCTGGTTTTGCACTTGCTTGAAGTTTCTTAATACTTAAACGATGCGGTGAACTACCCCAAAGAAACTGCCGGATCAAAAAGTCCAGATCTTTGAAATACTTATCTGGAATGTGTAATGGAATATTGGATAAAATATAAAAGATCATGGGTGCAGTCATCATCTTAATACAGCTAATTTTACCCCATATTGTGAGACGCACTCTGGACCATCTACCAAATTCCATTTTTATTCTTTCAAACATTGGCTCCATATTTGCTCGAACCATCTTAGTGTAATCCGAGGGAATTTGTATCCCCAAATACCTGAAACCATTCACGGACCACCGAAACTCCCACTGTTTAAATAAAGTATGGGGGCAGTGTCCTGACATAGGCATTGCCTCTGATTTATCCCAGTTGAGGCGATACCCTGAAAGCAGCGTAAAGCTTTCTATACATTCTAATAGGGCTGGAATTAACTTCCCAGGCTGGGTCATAAGTAACAACATACAGTATCATCTGCATATAATAGAAGCTTATGTTGACTATTACCCATCGAAATTCCAAATATATTTACATTATTTCTTAGTTTTTGTGCCAGAGGCTCTATAGCAATTACAAAAAGCCCGGGGCTAAGGGGACAACCCCGTCTTGTGGATCTCTGTAAAAGGAATAGATCTGATATGAGCCCATTCGTCAATACTCGCACTGAAGGCGAATCATATAATATCTTTATCTACCTGATAAAATTATCACCAAAACCAAACTTTTCTAATGTCTTAAACAGATAATCCCACTCAACACAATCAAAAGCTTTTGCAGCATCCAGCGATAGGGCCACTGTTGGATATACTGAATCATATAGATCATTTTGCAAATTAACCAACCGCCTAATATTATCTGAACCATAGCGGTTTGGAACAAAACCAGATTGGTCTGCATGACTTATTTTCGCCATTACTACTTTTAATCGACCCGCTAAGACCTTTGACAAGATTTTTTGGTCAGAATTCAGCAAAGATATGGGGCGGTAACCACCTGGGTCTAAAGGGTCTTTCCCAGTTTTAAGAATAAATGTTATAAGTCCAGAGTGCATTGACTGAGGTAATGAGTCTACTTTGAACGCCTCATTATAAACATTGAGCAACAGGGGACTTAACATATCCTCAAATGCTCTATAGAAATCCAATGGTAACCCGTCTAATCCTGGAGCTTTATTAAGTGGCATACTGTTAATTGCACGGGTAATCTCCTCCACTGTAATTGGAGCATCTATAATCTGCTGGTCAGTAGTAGAAAGCTGTGGCAGGTTTAAATCAGTAAAGAATGCTTCGAATTTCTGTTCATCTAAACTACCTTGTGTAGAATAAAGATTATTGTAAAAGGCCCTGAATCCATCATTTATATGTCTAATAGAAGTTGAAATAACCCCATCTGGTTGCCGTATGCCTGCGATATGGTTCATACTGTCTTTCTGTTTAAGACGGTATGCTAATAAACGACTCGGCTTTTCTCCCATTTCCCAATATGCTTGATTAATGCGAAATAAAGCGTATTCTGCCTTTCTGTTGTACAGTACATTCAACTTATATTTAACTTTAACAATTTTATTCAACGTAACTCTGTCTTTTGTGTGGGAATGTACTGATTCAAGTGCCTTTAATTTGGCTTCTAACGTAATGACATTCTTGTTAGCTGCCTTCTTTTTAAAGGGAGCGTAAGAAATTATCCTCCCCCTTAAGCATGCCTTCATAGCATCCCACCAAGTAGCCAATGTAGTGTCCTCTCGATTATTTGTCTGTTTGTAAAATTGTATTTCATCTCTTATCAATTTAATAAACCCAGAGTCTTTAGTTAAGGACACATTTAAACGCCATCTGCGGCTTTGAGGAATCTGTAAAATATTTCCAAGACATAGAAAAATTGGCGCATGGTCCGAGATTACTATATTACCAATACTTGAATAGAGTTATTCACTAAGGCTTCAGAAATAAGAAAGTAGTCGATTCTAGTATAAACACTATGAGGCGGAGAGTAAAAGGAGTATTCCCTGCCCTCTGGATGCATGCAATCAATGTCTTTATAATCATATTCTGAACACGAGTAAAACCAGCAACTACTGTGCACACAAGCATTAACAGAGTGATGATATTGTTGGAAACACTCAGTAAAACTGAATGAGGATACATTTCAAAGAAGACAGATGTCCGAATGCAACTGGCTAAGAACAGTGGGTCATAAACCGAGGCTGAAGGTGTAGAAAAGACTGACCGAGCTCACTGAGGTTGCAGTAGGCGCCCCACTCTGGAGCGCTGTTCCTGTGTTGCTTCTTTGTCTTCATCTGGAAATTTCACAGAGACACATTAAAGGTAAAAAACAAACAAGACATCTTCTTAAAGAATGTTTCAGAAAAACTGTCTCAATCTTAAAAATGAACACTTCTATCTGCTGTAGACAGGATGATGTAACAGGGTACAAACATTCGAATTCAGCTGTGAATCAGTGTGTTGTGAGTATATACTGTAGAGTGAAATGGGTTTGTTTTTGAGGAAAATAAATTTAAAAAGAAAGTCCTTTTTTTCTTGAAGGGAACCATAAATGTGGAACAGCAAACACTCATATAGTCCTGTGTGAAAATTAAGCACACGACCCATGACCACTCTTAGCAGAAATAACGCAGTAAGCGTCTTCTGTATGATTTTATCAGTCTGTCACATCCCTGTGGGGGGATTTCGTCCCACTCGTCTTTGCAAAACTGCTTTAAATTATTGAGGTTTGCAGGCATTTGTTATGCACAGCATAAGATCCTTCCACAGCATTTCAATCAGGTTGGTGTTTGGACTTCCTGCAGCTTTTCTGGTATGCTTGAGTAACGGGGTTTTGACTGTTGGACAGATGGCTTCACATTTCACTCTAGTACACATACTTTGTATATGTTGGGTTCTTTCTATTTTTATTTTCTTCAGCAGTTTGCACAGTCTGACCTTGGGACCAGCAAAGTGCTTTTGATTTTATAGAGGTGATCACATTTGACTGGATATGATGCTGTTGTGCTTTCTTTCTGTTGTATCAGCTTTTTAGAGTTTGACAGTAAGATCTGTACTGAGGGCAATTTAGTTCAGGTGGGATTAAAAACGTCACATTAAGCTGGAGTTTCTTAGACTGAGATGTGGCAAAGGAAAGAAAAACACAAAACAAATTGCACTGAAAATTTGGTCACCAATAAAAAGTTAAATCTTTATGGATTAACACTGGGTTGCTTTTTTCCCCTTAATAAATGACATGATCATTTAAAAACTGCATTTTTATTTACTCAGCTTATCTTTGTCTATGATTAAAATGTGTGACAAATATCCAAAAAGTAAGAAATCAGGAAGGGGGCAAATGTTTTTTACACAGATACCCATTAGCAAAAAAGTCTTTCTTCCTGCTAAATCATCCAACTTTGCTTCTATGTACCTGACCTACAGAGGTTAGCCTCAAAGCAGCACAGCCTAAGGAATACCTTTGAATTGTTTGTTTTCTTTTAAATAAAGACAGTTAATTGCTACGAGGAGGTACTAATCAGTTTGCGTTTTTCTAATTTGGGTGAACTGAACCTTAAAGTAGAAACTTATTTGTTGTATAACAAAAAAAAATTGGCGATTATTTATTAGCAGCCCCTCATTAAACAAACTCTTAAAGCTTTCTGAGGGCAAAATATAAAAGGTTTTTGAACCCACCTTGGCGAAACTCCTCTTATCTGGCTTGGCATAGTGTGTGGCATAGGTGCAGGACCCCAGGGTGCGGTAGCTGGGGTTGGAGAAGCAGCCACCTAAAGAGCTGCTACTGGGAGAGGACTCTGAAGAAGAAAGCAGGCCTGTGCACTGCAGCCCTGCTGCCCCAACATTAAGACATGTTCTCACATACTGAGCTCTATGTGTCATACATGCATATATATGTACAGTGCACCTGATACAAAGTATTTAACCTTTAATTTAATCACCCAGATCTGAAAAAACGGATCATTCATTGTCTTTACCTGTTGGTTGTGTAATTTCCCAGCAGGTTACGATTACCATCAACTGCTCTGAATTCTGTTGTATGCCATTCTAAACATAAATAACACCAGTCAGATGAAAAGGACAGACACACGGATATCGTACCTGAGAGGGAGTAGTCAGTGGAGCTGATGTTCAGGGCAGGTGTATAGGTGACACTAGGCACACGGTGGCCTTTCTCTCTTTGTCGATAACGGAACCAGACCACCAGAGCAAGCATGGCCATGATCATCAGCAGCAGGAAGACGATGCCCAGGACAGCCCCCGTCGACTGCCGCTGCGATGCCAGAGCTGGGCTCATCTTGGTGTAGGGGTTCAGCTCCTCCATCATCAAGGCCGCTGAGGAGAACACAGATGAGTAACACTGCATTTTAATGTTTGACACACTCACATCACCTGTACAGTGTGATCAGGCATTTTTGCTGAATGAGAATTTCAGAATAAAATTCCTCTCATTTCACTGAATTTATTGTGCTATTGACTTTTATTTTGGTATTTTGCCATGATACAAATGCAGGTATCCACAAAGGACAGATAATGAAAGGCAAACAGTTAAGGAGTAGGGTGGGGTGATACCGCCAAACTGGCGGAGTCTGCAGTGACACGGGTTCCATAATCTTCTTTGGAGGTAAACAGAGAGCTGAGCACGAACATGAAGCTGCTGAACTACTTTTGGTAACCGAGTCAAGCATTCAGTCATCGCCAGATGCTCGCGGCTGCCATCTAGTGTGGATTCTGGTTTGATGCCTTGCATTAATCCCTCCCTCTGTGCAGATCTTGTGTACGCCCTTGGAAGCTTGCAATACCATGGCTGTGTCCCAATTAAGAGACTGCACGCTTGAAGTACGCGCACTACGCG